TATGATGCTGCTTGGCCTGCTGTGTTCATCCAGCCCTGCACCTTGTTATCTGGTAAATCTCCTCTGACCCTCTCCAGTGCATCACATCTCTCTGATAATGTGGATTCCAGACTCCCTGCCTATCTTCTCCAAGATGACTCTCGGACAGGTAAGAAATGTTATGGATGAACTGAAATGCCTGTGAGTGTCACTATGAAATCGATTGCTGTGTGGGCAGTACTTACCCTGACCATTAAGCACTCTATTTTCTTACCTTGACTGACTGTCCCACCAAACCATCCCATCAAATCCAGGATGCCAGGTCCTTCTCACTTTACTCCTCCATGCACCTGACCCCACCCTCTGTTCATCCCTTAAATCCCTCTTCTGCTCCTTCATGCACCTGACTCCACACTACATCACTGACTTGTCTGTACCGGTCCTGAGTCTCCCTGCGAGAGTCTGTTCTCCTGTAGCCTAACACCCTCCCCTTCCTTTTTGCTGTAGAGTTAAATAAAGAAAACCGTGGACTGTACACACAGCTACACAAAATTGATGGAGAAACTCAACAGGTCTGACAGCATCTGTGGACAGGAAAAGAGAATTAATGTTTCAAGTCCATCCTTCATCAGGTCTGAAAGCAGCTGGAAAATGGTGGTATTTATGCTGATGACAGTGGACGTGCAAAATCCACTCTCTCTCTCCCCCCATCCTGTCAGTATTGCAGAGTTCTCAAGTCAGAAAATGTTCCTGCCAACTCCACCCACAAACGTATTGCAGAAGTATTTTTATTATTGAATTGAACAGGCGCCTTCAATAGTGTGATATTCTATGATTCTATCAATGAGTGAATTTCTACCAGAGTGAGTTTGACTTAAGTTGTGAGCAGGTGGTAAGTACAGAGAGTTTGGATTTTCTGGGTAAGAGCTGGGGGCAACTTATACACAAAAGGAAAATAATATATTTTTGGCCGAAGGTCAGGGGTGGAATTTTACATGAGAGAAACCAATACTGTTGTATAAACAGTAATTATTTTTACATGAAACATATTTTTATGAACCTGATAAGATCTGAGTGGAACATTAGATATGTTACTTTCACAAAATAGGATACAGTATATGGTTAATTTAGGACAGGACATGTGGTAAGTGTAGAAACAATGGGAGGAATGGGTGCTTTTGAACTATATTTCCAAAAACTTTCTACTTTTGGGGATTTGTTATGTCTGGATCCATTATGATTGACTGAGACTGATTGCTATTATCAGTGCTGTGGCATATGACTGTGATTGATCAATTTTTATTGAGCAAGGGCATTAAGGCTTACAGAAGCCAGTTGAATGGATGAAGTTAAGATACAGATCAGCCATGATCAAATTGAATGGTATAAAATAATATGAGGAGCTGAATGACCCAGAACTGTTCTTATACCAGGACTGCAGAAGATGAATTAAGTAAATCACAGTCATTTCCTACAGTAATTCCTATGCCTTGAATCAATTCCCTGTGAGGTACTAGAGTTGAATTGTCTACATTTTAAAAAAAAAATCTCTTGTTGTTCATTTTGCAGGTATGGAGGGTACATTCCAAAATTACAAAGCCGGCTAGGAGAGACCTATGGCAATGCTACTCTTGGACTCCTGTCATATGAACCTGGACAGCCCAAGGCACCACGTTTAACTCTGACTCAAACAAAAGCATTGTACAATCCCCAGGTGCCAAGGCATCTGCTAAATAGGACCTATGGTCATCCAGAAATTACCACATATGCGGGGCAGGTGCAGAATACAAACATTAAAAACGGTGATGTTCATTAAGTTCTTGTGATTTTTTGAGGCTTAGAGTCATAGAGTTGTACTGCACAGAAACTGGCCCTTCGGTCTAATCTATCCATGTTGACCAGATATCCTAAATTAATTTAGACTCTTTTGCCAGCATTTAGCCCACATCCTTCTAAACCCTTCCTATTCATATACCCATCCAGATGACTTTTAAATGCTGTAATTGTTGCAGCCTCCATCACTACCTCTGGCAGTTCATTCCTTCACGCACCACCCTCTATGAAAGAGTTTCCCCTTAGGTCCCTTTTAAATCTTTTCCCTCTCAACTTAAACCTATGCCCTCTAGTTTTGGACTCCCCTACCTGGGAGAAAATACCTTGGCTATTCACCCTATCCATGCCCCTCAAGATTTTGTAAACCTCTGTAAGATCACCCCTCAGCCTCCGACACTCCAGGGAAAATAGCAGCAGCCTGTTCAGCCTCTCCCTATTGCTCAAACCCTCCAGCCCCAGCAACATCCTTTTAAGTCTTTTCTGCACCCTTTCAAGTTTAAAAGCATCTTTCCTATAGCAGGGAGACCAGAACTGAACACAGTATTCCAAAAGTGGCCTACCAATGTCCCATACAGCCTCAACATGACCTCCCAACTCCTGTACTCAGTGCACTGACCAATAAAGGCAAGCTTACCAAATGCCTTCTTCACTATCTGCCTACCTGCAACTCCCAACTTTAAGGAACTAAGAGTTTGTGATAATTCATTGAACCTACCAGATGAATAAAATGAAGAATCTTTAGTTCTACGTTTAGCCATTTTATGGTGTAAAATATGCTACAACACATCAGAAAATTATGTTGTTTTACCAATTCTAGGAAGAAGGTAGCTCTGAAACTAGTCCCTTATTATGAAAAAGTATTTTTTGCTTGCAGGTAATCGGGAGTTGAACTTTTTTAGAAATAATTCTTGACATGGAGACATTGCTGACAAGACCAGCATTTACTACTGCTGTAGCTTATAGTTGCCTAATCCATTGTTAAGATTTGCTCTAAAATGTTGACTGGGATGATGTAAGATATTCCTTGAGTTCATAATTGTATATATACGAATACTAAAAATCATCAGCTACACAAAGTACCATTTTTGATATTGGTTTTACAAGGATATTACACACTGCAGAGTCATCTGCTTCACATTTTTTTTTGGTTATTTAAAATTCTCATTCCATGTTCAAATTGGTTTTACAAGGATATTACACACTGCAGAGTCATCTGCTTCACATTTTTTTTTGGTTATTTAAAATTCTCATTCCATGTTCAAATTCTCAGTGCCTTCCTACCTTTGTAAATTTCTCCAATCCTCCAGCCTTCTGCCCTGAACTTTCTGTTACTCTGACTTGGAATTCCTGTCCCTATGCCTCCCTACACTTCCATTATTCCAGTATTGTGCCTTTGGAATCACTCAATGTTTATGGCCTATCTCTAAACCTACTTCTTTAGTCGTGTTTTTTTCTTGTCAAACGTGCAGTTATCTCCCTTGATATCATATCTTGTTTACTCACCATGTTGTAGTGAATCACCTTGGCAGAGGTTTCTTCATTGATTATGCTTTGTAAATGCAAGTTGTACTTTTGATCAATCTGTACACTACAGAGTTTGGTATAAGGGCTGACATGATTCCATGAGTGGCTAACTGGACAAATGCGCTATATTGTGTGGCACATAAAAACCAGGGAAAGTTTCAGATGTATCCCCAGTTACTACAACATCTGAGGACATTGCTAGATGAGGCAAGAGAGAGAAAAAGGAAGGAACTTTGGTTATATAGCCTTTATTTTTTAACAACTTCAGGATGTCCTGAATTTCTTTATAGCCAATGAAGTAATTCTGAAGTGAAATCATTGTTCTAATGTAGCAGCAGCAGCAAATTTGAATGCAGCAAGGTGCCATAAACAGCAATGAGATAATAATATCATCTGTTTCTGTGATCATGGATGAGGACAAATGTTGGCCAGGTTAAAGGGAGAACTCTGTTCCTTGAACTGTGGCATGGGCTATTTAGTGTCCATCTAAAGAGGGCAGACTGAGTCTTGTGAGATGATTTAATGTATCTGAAAGACAACACATCCTGTAACATTCCTTCGGTACTGCACTGAAGTATCACCCTAGCCTCAGTACTGCAGTCCACGGACTGCAACCTCAACCATGATCTTGGGTATGTTACCATTGAGCCACAATGAGCCTAATGGTTTTACTGAAACTCTGCTATATTGCTGATTATCTGGCAATGTATGTGAGTGGAAATTTGCCTACCAAGGTAGAATTAACAACTTGGTAACCTGATTATTGTTCAAGAGATTGCAGTGGCCTCACAGTTAATGGTACAGTGTTACCATGTAGCAAGCAGTTATTTCCACCTTCCCATTGTAAGTTGTTTGAGTGAAGAAAGCTTGCATATTTTTTCCACACAGTATAAAAGGCACTAACTGCGTCACTTTTAATTGCAGGCTATTTCTATCCGAGAGATGGCAAATATCATTTTGCTCTGAAGAATTATGTATACGACAACAATCCTGAAGCAACATCTGCCATTCAGACTATAGAAGAATTGAAACAACGCGAAATGAAGAAGTGTAACAGGAGTGACCTGATTGCACCAAATATGTCATCAAGGCCTAAAACTGCCTTTGTAAGATTCTGAGAATTGTTTTGTGGTACTTAAACCCGATGTTTGAACTGGCATGTAAAGCAACTTCATGTCTTATTTCCTCAGGCACCAGATGAAATTAAACCACCAGATAGTTGTGCTTTCATCCCCATGGTTTATGAACCATCTATTGATCCCTGTCACCCAAGGAAAATGGATTTATTCCAAACACCAGATCAAAAACCAGTGGAGCAGCATAGCAGGATAATTTATAAACCCGATTCTTCACTTCACCCAACCTATAATGGTTTTGTTCCAGGTATGATTATTCTCCCTTTGGCTCTTTCTCTCCCTGTCATATTGATTTGCTTCTTGCTGTCCTTGACCAACCTGTATTTTATACATTGTAACTAAAATTAATAAGTACATATTTATTGATAACATTTGAGTGTTTTCCAAAATAAATCTGATTGCATTCTTTACCCTAGAATAGTATGGCAAACATACCTCAGTTAAGCTCTATGCGTTTAAAATTGTACATTTCAGACTTTATTCCCTTACCTTTTAGGAGTGCATCCCTGCCGTTTGATGGAAGAAATTCTGTATCTTATGAGGCTTTGGCTTGCATTATCTGATAGTGTGATGTGTACTAAGGTTCTTATTTTCTCCCATCAATTCAACTGCTGATACTATTAACATCCATTAATAGTTACAAAAGTTTAATTATGAGGCCCAACAATATTACAAGGTTTTCTGCTTGAAACTATCAATAATCCAAATTGTTTTAGCATGGAACTCCCATGGAGTAAAGTAAGGGAACTGCTCGGTTTTGAGTGGGGTTAGAGAAAGGTCTCCTCAGTGACATTGTTGCCCTCTTCCTCTACTGTCAATATCTTACATTGCCAGAAAATTCCCTAAGTAGAGCACCAAAGGTCCTCAAAAGGCTCATGCTCAACACTAAATCCCTTCAAAAATCCATTCAATAAGGTCCTGCATCAGTGCTAAAACCCTTTATAGTAAATTCTCTGCCGCAGCAATATATCTCAATAAGCCTCCACTTCTCCACCTAACAACAGACCTACTTAAAGGACCTTCAAGTCATTAGTGAACCCTCTCAAAAAATCCTACCTCAACAACAACTGCCCCTCCCCTGTGCAATCCACAACCCCTCTCCCCCTTCCCTGGATAAAACACCACTTCAGTAACACTCTAAATAAACCAATAATAATTGTAAAGCAGGACCTCAAACATGATAATCTCGTGATTACTCGCACTGACACACGCTGGTGAGTGCGGGATTGGAGGATTACTGTGATGGAAATCCCAGATAAAGGGTTGGAGAGTGCAAATCATAAAAATAGAGACATTCAAGGAACAGTCTTACTGCACAGAGGGTAGTGGAAATCTAATCCCAAAAGGCTGTAGTTGCTAGAATCTTGACAATTTCAAGATTAGGATAGCGTTTTGTTAGATAAGCATATTGAGAGTTGTGGAGTAAAAGTGTATAAATGAACTGAGGTAAAAATCAGACCAAGGTCCAAATGAATTGTCGAACAGGCTTGAAGGTGGATTAGGCTACATATCTTTAATTTCTCTGATGGATTCATTAATTATCAGTTAATTCCAGTTGTAACAGTAGCTATGAATTACAAATCAATATTATTTTTATTACCTTACAGGTCAGCAGTTTAAGATCGGAAAGAACTGGGGACACAGTACTTTTAACGTTCTGGGCATTGGTGAGGAGAAACCACAGCCACCGTGTCCCACTTGATTTGGGAACGAGCCTTCTAGCTGGCTGAATACAGGGCTGTACTGACTTCAGTTAGAACATCAATAAATTTGAGAGTGTCGGCAGACAATCTGATTGCCCCAAAATCAAACCAGTTGTTAAGTTGACTATGTTTGCTGAATGCCATAAAAGTAAAGTTGGAATTCATTCTTTTACACAATAAATAGTGTACAAAAAGATCATAAAGACTTCTGTTACATGGACAGTGTTTGAAAAATCAAGATTTATTTTCAAGAGAGTAGGAACATATAATTATTTCCGATCTCTGAATGTGGAGTAGACAGTCAATATAAAACTGATTTGTGCAAAAAGCTGGCACATTTCCAGAAATCTGGATGAGATGGCAATAGTTTGAGGAACAGCAGGAGTTGTTCCAGTATTCTGATAAACATTTATCCCAACAACTGATCATGGTCTGGAACATGATTACCTTCACAAGACATCAAGAACAATAGTTAAAATCCAGCAGTTGTTGATCAAGAATTTACATCTCAGTCAGTGCAGATTCATCTGGTTGGCAGAACATGAACACAGGCAGCTGAGTCAACAATGTTCTAACTGATGGGGGAGCAGGTTACATGACTCCACATGACCTGGTGTGACAGATCGTCAACTGGCTCTTGGTCAATACAATCAAAATGCTCTAAATGGGTCCTAGTGTACTTCTTGTAGCATGATGGCATGACCCTGTGGACTGCTCCTGGCTGGGTGATCCCTGGTTTGGACCAGACTTCTCATTGCTGCCAGCTCTTGAAAGTTCTGAAGGGAGCTGGTGCCTCACAAATTGTGAAGACCACTTCCCCAGCCCCCTAGAACACTGTCATTTCATTCTGCACAGAGGGTCTCCCTACACAGAATGCTCTTAAACATCCGTCATTTCCTCAGCCTTGCCTGTCATCTGGACATACTGTGGTATTCCATTCGGAGAACTCTCCATATAGGAGCCTTCCCTCACATCTTGGATTTGACAAGGTGAGTATCGCATGGAGCAGTCAATGTAACCGATTGTTCAGACTGTTCCCAGACTCCTAGGCCACCTGTAATTTTTGTAGCCTACAGGAGTTTGTATTTCACATTCACGTGAGAGTTTTGCAGTACCTCTACCATTAGCTGAACGGACACACTTCACATTCTAGCTGCATTAGTGCCTCACTCCGTACATTTGGCTGACCATTACAGAGGGGAGCAGGCAGATTGGAAGGTCTATTTATAGGCTTGCTACCTGGATTGGCTGAAGTGGATATCTTCAGGTACAGATGACGAACAGTCAAGAGGATCATTTGTCATGGCTGCCCGCCTCTATCCCACAGCTCTCTTCCTCTTTTCAACACTAGTTATTCTGTGAGAGTGAGCTTTTTGTAAATGCCAGCAAGCTCCAGGTTTTCCATAACTGGTGGGCGTTAGAGGGACTGGGGTACATCATCAACTCTAGAACTATTTTCATTTGTTTAAAGTTTCAATGTCTTTTGTTACAGTGAATTAGAGGCAGCCTCTTAGTGTGGCTCAGTGGTCAGCAGTGCTGCCTCACAGCGCCAGGGACTGTGTTCAATTCTACCCTCGGACGACTGCCTGTGTGGAGTTTGCACATTCTCCCTATGTCTGCATGGTTTCCTCCCATAGTCCAAAGGTGTGCAGGCGAGGTGGATTAGCCATGGGAAATGCAGGTTTGCAGGGATAGGGTGGGTCTGGGTGAGATGCTTGTCAGAGGGGCAGTGTGGACTTGATGAGCTGAATGGTCTGCTTCCATACGGTCAGGATTCTATAACTTCTATAAGTGGCCACATCTGCTTTTTGATATAAACTTTGATCAATAGAAAAAGATGAATAAAGTTAGTTAAACTGTAGTTAAGTGCCAGACAGTCTTGCAGATTTATTCAAATTCAAATTTCATTTTTGAAACCATGGTGGATTTGGACCCTTGGCACTGGAGAATGTCACCTGGGTCTTTAGGTTTTAAGTCCAGCAACAGTACCACTATGCTATGTTGCTTAAGTAGTTAAGCAGTTTAGCCTGAAATTTTATACAGCATCTACACTGTTGTGGCTTAATTGCAGGACTCATGCTTCAGAGTTAGAAAATTGTGACATCAAGTTTCAGTTCAGAGATTTGAGTAGCAGATCTAGGCTGAAACTCAAGTGCAAACTAGAGTCTATTACTGCTGCATTGTCACAGGAATTGGAAAGGGATGTTCCCCCTTGAGTCAGGAAGTGCAATTCCAGTCATTTCACAGTATTGCATTCCCAACTTCTGAAAATCATCACAAATACCTGAATATTTTGTCTTCCAACATCAGGAGATGGGTTGGAGTCATGACTGTCATCTCCTGAGATACAGCCAAGGTGGGAACTGAGGTAGGAAAACATCAAGGATAGCAGATAGAAAGCCTGCCTCTATTCACTAGGACTTTGACCCCAATTATCTATGTGGCTATTAGATCCTTAGCCCTCAGCCCTCAATTTCATCCTCCTTCATATTCCCATCCCTGCTCATCCAGTGTACACCATGTATAGAACTCATTGTGACATCTTTGAAAATGTTCTGAAAATTTTAAAAAGCCTTTCAAATTCCCAAGACAAAAACTGCTTGTCTTAGATGCTCATAAAACAGTAAATCAACTACACGGAATTAAAACTCACGCTGAAAAAAATCTCATTTTAAATTGTCACTAATCAAGATAAACAACAACCATTCAAAATCACCCTCCAAACATTTAAGAACACAAGGAACAGGCAATGCAGCCTCCTTAAGCCTGTACTGCCATTCAATACAATCATGATTGATCTCATCTTGACCTCAACTCCACTTTCCTGCCTGCTCTCCATAACCCTTCAATCTCATACTTATTAAAAATCTATCTCTTCTTTAAATTTACTTGATGTCCCAGCATCCACCACACGCTGTGGCAATAAATTCCACAGATACATGACCCTTTCAGAGAAATAGTTTCTCCTCATCTCTGAGATAGTAGGAACTGCAGATGCTGGAGAATCTGAGATAACAAGGTGTAGAGCTGGATGAACACAGCAGGCCAAGCAGCATCAGAGCATCAGTACCTCTGATGCTGCTTGGCCTGCTGTGTTCTTCCAGCTCTACACTTTGTTATCTCAGATTCTCCTCATCTCTGTTTAAATCTGCTACTCTTATACAAAAACTAAGATCTCTCATTTTAGATTGCCCTACAAGATAAAATATTCTCTCTATATCTACTTTGTCAATCTCCTTTAGCATCTTATATACCTCAAATAGATCATATCCTAGATAGTTAGTGAATCTTCTCTGAACTGCCTCTAACACAACTAGATTCCTCCTCAAATAAAAGGGACCAAAACTATATGCAATATTCCAGGTGCAGTCTCACAAATGCCTTGTATAGTTTCAACAACACTTCCCTACTTTTATACACAATTCCTTTCACATTAAGTGCCAAAATTCCATTTGCCATCCTTAATAGCTACTGTGCATGCCTTCCAGTTTTTAGCAATCATGCACAAGGCCACTCAGACCTCTCTGCACCAAAGTTTCTCGCCATTTAGATAATAAGTTGCCTTTCTATTCTTCTGATCAAAATGGATAACCTCACATTAAACCACATTAAACTCCTTCTGCCAAATTTTGACCCATTCACCTAATCTATCCATTATCCATTTGCAAATTTCTTATTTCTTTATTTCAATTAACTGTTCCAACTACTTTTGTATCATCTCCAAGTTTGGCTCTGGTACCTTCCAGCCCTGCATCCAATTCATTGATATAAATTGTAAATAATTGAGACCCAAAGACCAAACCCTGTGCTACATTCTATCAAACAGAAAAAAAATCTAATTTATCTCTACTTTTTGTTGGTTATCTGTTCCCCTATCCATAAATGATCCCTAATCCCATGTGATCTTACCTTGTATATTAACATTTTTTGCAGCACCTCATAAAATGCTTTTTGGAAGTCCAGATACACTACATCAATGAGATTTCAATTATCCACATTGCTTGTTACATCTTCGAAGACCTCAAGCAAATTAGTCAAACACAATTTATGCTTCATAAAACAGTGCTGACTCTAATGGATAGCATTTTGACTTTCTAAATGTCCTGCTATTACTTGCCTAATAATGAAATCCAACAATTTCACAACAGATGTTAAATTAATTGGTCTATAGTTTCCTACTTATTGCTTCCCATCCTTTTTGAATAAGGACATTATGTTTGAATTTTTCCAATCCACTGGAGCCTTTCCCACATCTGAGGAATTTTGGAATATTATAACCAGTGGTTCCACCATCTCTGCTGCCAATTCCTTCAATACACCAGGATCCATGTCATCAGGTCCTGGAGACTTGTCTGCCTTCAATTCGAATAGTTTGCTTAGTACTTTTTCCCTAGTGATGATAACTGTTCTAGGTTCCATCCTTTCTATAGCCTCTGCATTACCTATTAATATTGGGATGGTACTAGCATCCTCCACCACAAAAACTGAGGCAAAATATTGATTTAGTGTTTCTGACATTTCTGTTTTCCCCACTATAACTCCCTAGTCTCATCCTCCAATGGCCCAACATTTACTTTAACTACTCTTTTCCCTTTTATTTGCTTATAGATGCTTTTGCTATCTGTTTTTGTATTTTGCACTAGTTTTCTTTTGTAATTTACCTTTGCTCTTTTTATTACTTTTTTAGTAATGCTTTGTTGATCTTTAAAAGTTTTCAAGCCTGCCACTGGCCTTTGTAATATGGTATGCTCTGTTAACAATGCCTGTTGAGTTAAATCCATTAGTAGGGTCAGTCTAATGGAATTACATTGTTCAGTTGAATAAACAAACTCTACAGACCTCAACACAAATCTGTGAAATTGTCTGACCAGCTGTCCAGCCAATTACTCCTTTTTTATCAAAAGCCCAACTGAGTATTAAAGTCTGGCATCTATAGTTTTGTTCAATTTCTCTACAGATCTCTTGATTTTAATGTAATGCCCAAATTGCTGTGTCCACATAACCCATTTATATCAGTTTCCCAAGACTGTTGAATATATAAGTACTCTGTAAGTATGTGTAAACTTACAGAAAATGTTGCTGATCAATTCAATGGCCACCTACCATTAAGGATAGAGCTGTATATACAATCAATTTAAAACATTCTTCCATGATCATACAACAGTTCATTACCATATTTAAAGCTGGCAAGACCGTAAGACTTGCTTGTCAACTCTATATTTCCACAGCAGGTTTCCCCAAGACTCATGAATTGACTTACTAAACAGGTTTCTAAAGCCTTTAGAAACCCATTCATCGCAACAAAAATAACAAGTCATGGAAAACTGCATTTGCACCATTTAAATGGCAGCACCGGTATCATCTTACTTGGGCATCAGGTTGTGACCTGCCAAATTTCCTGCCCCAGGGAAGATGGTATCTGTTGGGAATGGCCAGGTCAAGTTGGAATCTGCAGGCCCAGACACCACCAGTTTGGGGCTTCTGACATGGGTCTGATCAATGCCAGAAAGGGGAAATCCAGCTTGTTGTCCTTCACATGAGGTATCAAATGAAGGCCTTTTTGGCTGAGCACAAAGGGTCCTGTAGCAATATTCAAAATTGGGGTGAGGTGCAGTGCCCAGTGCTTTTGTCAATATTTTGCCTTTAACCAGTACA